TTTTGTACTGGGGATCGAACTCCGGACCTTGCGCTTGCAAGGCAGGTGGGCACCACTGAGCTAAATCCCTGTCCCCCCTCCTACAAATTTTTCTATAAGGGTACATCTGTGTAGCTCCAACTTGGGAAGATATGGATCACTTCCAAGTCCCAGAGGGTCTCACATGATGCCCGACTCAGGTACCAGCCCCTTCCTATATATATATATCCCTTGTCGTGCTTTAGACTCCTTTATGCCCTCACTTATTACCTTACATTTGAGAATTAAATAGCACCTATCCTTCTGGTGGCTCCTGGGACCTAAAGTCAGATGTTTTTATTTGGGGAGCTATCATAGGCAAGGTGCTGACAGGACGGGACGCTCCGAGGGTTCTCAGGTGTCCACCTGGAGGAGCCAGGTGCTCCCCACTGCCCTCTCTGTCGGCACCAGCCCGGGCCTCCCCTGGGGGGACACAGCACACAAAGAGATACCTTGTTGCTTCCTGCGGCACATCACAGTGAAGAGCGTCGCAAATGCTGATATGACAACCAGCGGCACAGTTATGGCCACAGCTCTGATGGGCCCAGCCCACGGGGAATGCACTGGGAAATTGCAAAGGGAAAGCTTTAAACTTAAGCAGCGTAACAAGTTCAAAGAGAAGTAATCTTTTTTCTTTTTAAACATAAGCCAACTGACAGGTTCTGGGAGCCCCCCCAAACCACCTTTCTCTAATGCTGGTGTGGTGATTATGAAAGAATTCAATGGTTCCTTTTTAAAGGGTTGTAGCAAATAATACAGCAGTCAGAGATAGCTGAGACAGAAAATACCTTTGAAAGAGAATTTTGCCTAAGGAAACCTCTCCTCCCACCACTTTTCTCCAGGACAATTGACTTATTTATTCAGTCCCAGTGACAGACACCATACTGGCTTTGATCTTCCAGGCAGCAACATGAAGGGAGAAGGAAATTCAGAGTTGGACGGAACATAGTTTAAGAGGGAGGAGCTGCGTTTTATTTTGTTTTTGTAAGCCATACACAAAGAGATACCTTAGTCTCCACTAGTCCAGAGCCAAATCTTCACACAAAGTAATTCTCACCTGGTTTCAAGGCATAATGCACCACCTTTCTTGTTGTGTTAGTGTCATCTACCAGCTGCAAAATAAATAGACAAGGCTGTGTTAAAATCTTTTAAATGACAGCACCGCAACAGACCGTGTCTGTCAGTTACATGGAAAGAGATGGCGACGTCCACACGCATTTTCACCAGTGGGCGGTAGCGTGACGGTGGTGGTATAAGTGGGGACAGTGGCTGAGGACAGAGCTGCTGGACCTGAAGTCATCTGCCAGGCTGAGACCAGGCATCTTCTCTTTACAGATTCAAAATCCTAATCTTCATTACGTTTCCTTTCATGAATCAAAAGCCTGTTTATTCACTGAAGAATTCAGCTAGTCAAGCTCACACTGGAACAATTTCTAACTGAAGTCACACCCTACCACTGATTTTTGCTCCATGAACGCTTTAAGGGGTGCTGTATGTAAGGTGTGTCTGCCCAAACCACACACTGCTAGCAAGGAATGGCAAGATCTGGGCATTTCTACTAAAATGTTAAGACATACTCACAGTCTCTGAATAGCGCGGGCTGCGGACATATGGCTCATTCACTTTTACCCTGATTTTTATAGTACAAATTTGATATTGGAAAAGAGACAAGAAATATCATTTACATGTTCCGTGAAGTGGTGTCTACAGAGGAACAGTAACAGAAACCCTAGAGAAATGCACATGTACATAGTGAGCAGAGCGCTTTAGACTCCTTTACGCTCTCACACTTACTACCTTATATTTGAGAATTAAATCGCGCCTATCCTTTTAATGTTTTGCTATGCTGGGGGGGCAGTGCTGGGTCTCAAACACAAGGCCTCATGCACACGAGGCAAGGGCTACAACCCCAGGTGAAACCAAAACTTTTTAAAGGTAAAATATTTCTTTTCTAGTCCCACGGATTGAACTCAGGACCTCATGCTTGTAAGGCAGGCAGTGTACCACTGGGCTAAATCCCCAGCCTTAAGGGTAAAAATTTTTAAATATGTCTTTGTAGTATAAAAGAAGAATATACAGAAATTTTTAAACCACGGTTTTGTGGATTGTGTGGTTGGATAAAAAATTTTATTTGAATTATTTAATGAAAAGACCAAAGAATTATGTGTAAACATTTTTTAAATGGTAAGAACCATGGCAAAACATAACTGCGCACATCTTGTTGAAATACCAGTGTTACAGACAGAACTGCAGGTGAACTATGTACTGCAGAATTAATAGAGTTTTCTGAAATTGTAAATACCTCAATTATATAATCTCCTGGAGATATATTTTGAAGGAGGCAGCTGGTTGTCTCTGTATTTTGTTCCTGTAAAGAAGCAAACAACACTTTAAAAACTCACTTCTTGGAAAAAGTCATCAGGGACCTTCGTCTCCCTCAGAGCTAAAGAAAGCTTGGTATCAGTCTTGGTCACGTTTTCAAAAAATGTGATTTGGTGGCTGGGGATTTAGCTCAGTGGCATCGCACCTGCCTTGCAAGTGTAAGATCCTGAGTTCGATCCCCAGTACCAAAAACAGTGATTCGATCAGAAAGCTACTGTGTGTCACCTGCCACATGGGATCTGAGCTTCACCTTCACAGAAAGAAGGTCCGAGACCCCAGGTCCTTGGCTGCTGCACCCTCAGCAATGAATACCTCATTCGAAGACAAACTTCTTAGAGCACTCTTTACTTAGGAAAGTGAGGGGAAGACATTACTGGTCTCCGTATGTATTTTATTTGTCATAATTTTAACTCGGCCAGAAGGTCAATAAAAGTGAGAGCCAGCAAGAGACCAGAATTACAGAAGAACCAAGTGTGTACAAGAGCATGTGTGAGAAGGTACTGGGTTTTGCTGCCTCCATCAAACATTTCTCTCGATGCTCCGGCTTCCAGGAAATACGTCCCACTCTTCTGATCACCTTCCGTTTAAGATCTTGGTACTGAGTTTCTGCTTAACCCTGCCATCTGGGTAACCAATGGCCACCGGATTGCTAGTGGCTTAACTCTTACATTTGGGTTCCTTACTAGCTATGTGACCTTGAGCAAGGAAGGTGACCTTCTGAGACTCTAGTTCCCCCTGGAAGGGGGATAATAGCAGTTTCCATTTCATGGAGTGGTCAGGATTCAAGGAAGAGAAAGTTTAATGCCTGTCACGCATGAATACCTAATGAATCTTTGAAATACAGAAGGACAATCTAGAAGTACTAGTTCTTTTGATTTCCAGGCTATTTTACCACTCAACAGCAAGGTTGTGGTTAAGTAGGGAATGAGGAACAACACCAAGATGGTCCAAGACATAACCAGTGCTAAACAACCTAGAACATCCACTAACTGCCGAGAGGCAACGATGTCTAATGCTCACACTGTGTTACCAAACCCAAACGCCCAGAAGCCACGTGAAAACATGCCGCTGCTAGCAGCTCACCTGCTTACAGGTCTTTCGCTTGAAGGGTCCTTCATGCTTGAGCTTGTAGTGAAGACAGAAGAAACGGAAGCCAAAGTTGTGTGGTGCGTGGTCGAAGGACACCTGCACGTCCAAGCCGTGCTGGGTGATGTTCAGGCTCCGAGGCTTCCAGACTGAGGGGAAAACTGCAGTGAGCATGCACAGGTCCCCCGACACTCGGGGACACACTGGCGACTCGACACACAGGGACAGCCATACTTACAGGGTTTACAGGCCAGGTTGTCTGGCTGTAACAACAGGTCACAGGCTATTAAGAAAGATAAATATTTTTAGTTTGAGGACAGCTCGACATTTTCCTTATCGAACAGTTCAATGAAATATAAATATACTGTGCCTGGTTCTACTGGAAAGGGTACAAAATAAATCAGCTCGACATGATCTACTACAATTGTGTCTGATGAGAATTTACACAGCACAACATACATTAATGTAGTTCACTCTTATGCCACATAAACGGAAACCATATAAAATCACCAATTTTAAAGCTTGTCACACATTACACAGGCAATGACAGCGGCATGCTGTTCCTACTCTGTCACACAGAGGCTGTTTCAAGCTATGGATAGAAACAGTGCCCTCCCCTGCGCTACTGGAGGTGTTGAGGCACCAGAGAACGTTAGAGCAGGCCTTGTAACAGTTGAGGAGTTATTTTAACCTGCACCAGCGCTCTAATTTAAAATTATTTTGATAGACTCCAAAACTGGCAGGTTGGCATCTACCAAGTAGAAGGGTCAAGGCTGAAAACCAGGCATCAGAGCCAGCAGCTAAGAAATGGGACGGAAGCCAAACAACAAAGGCCAGCACACCATGCTGCCGACCTAGGGAGTCTCCCAGAGCTATCCGTGTAATACCAAGAAAAGGGAGAGTAGCATGGAAGTCACAGTGTCCTGATGTGCTGATAAATACCTGCATTTCGGACACACCCCTGCCTCTGCCTCACCTCTAGACAGACACATTAATTCCGCTGGGAAAAATAATCTTAAATTATACTAGCTTTTATTTAGATAATGAACACATTCTTTGAATCCACTTTCTAATTATGCATAAGGCAGATATGTGCATGGTCTCTGCCCCATGGAATCATTTTTAAATTCAGAAAACAAAGCCAGGCACCACTGCGCACATCTGTAATCGTGGCAAGGGGACGCAGGAGGAGCACCAGGTCAAGTCTCACCTGGGCAACTTAGAGAGCCTCTGTCTCTAAAGTCATTTTAAAAGGGCTGAAAATGTAGCTTAGTGTGAAGGCCCCAGCACCACAGAAAGAGAAGGGAGAAGGGAAGTCAGGGAGGAACAGAGGGAGGGAATAAGGCCAGGTAGGGGGAGGCAGCTCAGTAGCAGACCACTTGCCTATCATGAGTGAGACCTGGGTTTGAGTCCTAGGAAGAGGGAGGGACAGAGAGAGGGACAGGGAGAAACTGTTATAAACTAACTGCTGCCATAAAACTGCCACAGTGAGAATTCCAGAGGAGCTGAGCACGGTGGTGCACTCCTAGACCGCCAGTGCTCTAGGGAGCTGAGGAGCACTGCCAAGTGCAAGCCCAGCTCAAGTAACAGTCCCTCTCTCCAATTGTTTTTAAAAGGCTATAGCTCAGTCCCTCCCAGTGCTGTAAAAGAGAGAAGCGGGTGAGGACAGGGAAAGGTGAGGAACTGGGACCCAGCACGGCCCATGGCTGAGGGTGTGGACTCCACAGCTGGCTGGCTTTCTTTTTTGTTGGTATTTGTTTGTTTTGAGATAGGGCAGGGTCTCATTATGTAATTCAGGATCGCCTTGAATCTTTGGTGATCCTCCAGCCTCAGCCTCCAGACACAGCTGTATTTCTGCGGCTCAAATCCCAGCTCTAGGCAAGTCCTTTACCCTCTGTGTTACTACACATCTATTAAGTATGTATGGTTTCCTTATAGGGTTGTTACAAAGATAAAATTGTACTGTTATTTGGAAATCATTTAGAACAGAGCCTGATGCATTACTGTTAAAATAAAAACTTTCTATGAAGAGGTACTCTCAGGGATATTAGTTATCTTAATCTAATCCTGACCCCTTCTCCTTACTGCAGAGTTTAAAAAAAAAAAAAAATCACAGAGTGGGTGCTAGGGATTGAAGCCATGGCCCTGCACACATGAGGCAAGTGTCCTACCACTGAGCTACATCCCAGCCTACAAAATCACTGTTCTGACAGCTGGATGTTTCAATGAGGTCAGAGTATGCTTGAAAAAAAATCAATTACTAGGTCTGTCCTAGAACAAACTGGGTGTCTCTGGTTTGTCTCCAGTTAACAAAGCCTAATCTTAATTTGCTTTTCTGAGCCGGGCGTGGTGGCACATGCCTGTAATCCCAGCACTCCGGAGGCTGAGGCAGGAGGATCACTGTGAGTTCAAGACCAGTGTGGGCTACATAGTGAGTTCCAGGTCAGTCTCAACTATATAGTGAGACCCTGTCTCAAAAACAAAAAAACAAACAAACAAAAAAAAGTGCTTTTCTGATTCTTTCCTCGTTACCCTACTATGTTTCATAGCAGCACCTGGCATGCTGGCGGGTGGGGGCTTTCACACCACGCAGTTCAGGTCGGCCTCGAACTCACAATGTAGCCTCAGCCTCTGGATCACAGGCCACCACACCAGCTTTCTGGCATGCTCCTCGGTACGCTTCTGCGGTATCTTCAGGAAAGACCATACTCACCCCGGGTTCTGAAGAAGAACGGGTGGTAATTGCTCTCGTTTTTAATGGAAGGGAAAGGGACAATCTTTACAAAGTAATCCGTCTCAAATTTCATATTCAGGAAAGGCTGAGATTCCATTCCCTAAAAAGGAACAAAATCACGTGTGCCATCAAGGAGAAATTACCCTAACCCTTCCACCTCCACACAAGACCTGCCCTGCCAACCCGCATGTCACTCGGGCCTCGACTTCAGAACTGGGAGGCACAAAGATGATCTTTACTGCATCACGTCCGGGTTCAGCCCTGAACTCTGAAGAGAGGGAACAGAGAAACTCTTCTCTGGCAAGGAAGCCACAGCTCACTAGCACAGCCTCAGAGCCGGAGGGAGGAGAGCGGCCCACGTCAGCCTCCGGGGCAGACACCTCTGCAATGGCTGCTGGCCGGTAACCCGAGAGGCGTGTTTACCACCAGGGTCTCCCATCCTCACCCACCTGGGGCGGGGACACGACAGGTGGATCCCGCCAACCCCCTTCTTTAATTTCAGACTTCAATAGACCATTTAGACCCCCGGAACAATGGCCTGTCTTAAGGGGCGCATTCCCCAAGTGTGACTTACAGTTCCTTTGAAGCTACTGTTGAGCTGCTTTGGATCCTTTAAAATCAGTTGTTGGCACTGTCTTCCCTCCGACTTCAGCTCCTCCAGTATTACCCGAAATCCTTTTAGGAATTCAATGCCTAAGCACAGCAGAATGCTTTTATGAAAAGTAGACCTAATTTCTTCTGAGTGCGCTTTCCTTCCTCTCCGAGATTACCGTCCTCTCCACCCACACATCGGAGGTAAAGGACTTCTTACACGTCTCTGCCCAGGATATCTGTGTCCACAGAGAGGAAAAGCGCACACCCTGCACTCCTCTGGGTCAGAGCAGGTGATTTTTCCTGGCCCACCATTACTAATATAATGAACCTGTAATCCACCCAGCCAGTTCACAAACACCCACTGCCCCGGTGGCCTTAGGGTTCAGAAGACCCAATCAGCATTGCTCATAAAAATGTGCCAGGAGAATTTACCATTTCTAGGTCATTGTACAAGGTGCGCTCAACTGAGGATAATTCCTAGTGTTGACTAAGAAACGCCCCTAAACCATGTTTCTGTTTTAGGTTTGAGCTCTGTAACTTCTGGCATGTTACAAAGAGCAATGGACAAAATTCCCAACAAAGTATGCGCCTACACCCAAGGGGGTTCCTAGATTTGAGATTAAGTGGCTTAGACGAATGCTGAAGGGATTTACAAAGCGGTTTATGCTGTCATCGTGCCTGAAAGGCGGACACTCGAGAGCTGCCCAGTGTGGGCTCTTCACGCAGCCCTCAGTACCCAGATACCCACGGTGCCACTGAAAGGCACCAGCCCAGCTTCCTGCCATCTGAGCTCCCCCGCTGCACGTCCCACTACATGCTTTCAAAAGGATTAAGCCCTGGCGGCCACAGGAGCCAGCACCGCTCTGTATCCACGGAGACTGGAGTGGTCCAACTGCAGCTGGAGATCCCCAAACCTGGCCTCAATTGGCGACGTATCGATTTCACATTCTTTCTCAACACCAGGCAAGGAGACATTTTCAAGCCTTCCCCTCCCCAGGCAAAAATAATTACACAGGATGCAATTAACCAGGTGGGAAAATTATTGATGGCAAAGGCCAGAGCAATCTTTGTCTTTTTCAAATAGGCTCTCGAACGAATCCTGCAATTACTTGATGAAGAGCACATATTTCATGGTGGGCAGGACAGAGGACCACAATTACAGCCTCATATTTTAAGGGCTCCGAATACTACAGTGCACACAGGAACTCACTCTGCCGTGCTGTATTTCACCCACAAAGCTGAGGGTGACAGCCAGCGAATCCAGATGTGAGGACAAGAAACAAGGTGTGTGAACCAACAACTATGTAGTAGGTCTCAAAGGCACTTGCTTCTTGAGCTTTAAGAAAACAGCAATTTTGAAAAACAAATCCTTAGTATTTATACAAAGATTTACCTTACACAATGTTCCCAGCACTGTGGTTTAGCTAAGGCCTGCTCACTAATGTGATTAATAGCCAGGCAGCTCATAATTACTTAAAAACCAACCAGCTAGAGTGGGAAAAGTGGTTGTAGTCCTTATTTTTCAAAGGTCAGCCTGAGGTTGGGAATATAGCCCAGGGGTGCTTTGTGAGCATAAGCCCCTGGGCGCAACCCCCTGTACCACAAATAAAGGAAAAGACACCGGCTTAAAAATTACTATTCTGTCTGGTATGGTGGTGCACACATGTAATTCCAGCACTCAGGAGGCTGAGGCAGGAGGACCCCTGTGAGTTCAAGGCCAGCCTGAGCTATAGCTTGCTATATATATAGCAACCCTTTGTCTCAAAAAGCAAATATAAACAAACAAAATAGTACTATTCCAAATCTGGGGCTGGGGAGCAAATGTAATTCCTCCATCACAGACACACGTTAATCCTACTATTATTAACACCTTGTATGCAGTAATATGATGAGTGGTAGCTTTATAGAGTAATCCCCCTGAAGGAATTTGCTTTCTTTTATTATGTGCTTTCTTTCCCATCACTGAAACAATGAATGCATCCTAACAACCACAGGGAGAAGGAACTTATTATGCCCACTTGCAGATGAACAAACTGAGGTTTAAAGAAGCTAATTTGCCCAGGGATTTTGAATCCAGGAAATATCTGGCTTTCAGATATTTCGCCCGTAAACCAAACAGTTTCCTGCCTTCCAAAGAGTTTCCTTGCTAGAACCTGACAGAACCTGTTCATCCGTCCCCAGCCGTAAATCACCCTCCAGGAAAAGCCTGCCGCCCTCTCTTTTGTTCTGCACTTGAGACCTCCTGCCCCTCACACCTTTTCCTTCCATTCCAGTGAGGGAGCCTGAAATTCACAGGACCAAGCCCTCGACCATTGAAGCCTTTCTTAGTGGAGTGACCTCTTCCCCTTTATCCAGAGAATGTTCTTATCGTTAAATGTTAAGGCAATGTTCTCTTCTGGAAACCCCCAATAGTGTTCAAACTCTGAAGTATGTATGGCCTGGCTGTGGTCTGCCCCACCTCCCTCTCCCAGCACTCACAATCCGGTCTCCCCATGAGATTTATGCTGCTCCTCTTAAGAAATCCAGGCTTTATTTTACTTCTCCCTGGCCAAGTTGTAGAAATTGTCTGAAATGGCAAGGTCACGGGACACGTCTGAGACCAGGTTCTGATGACAATAAGGACTCCTCCCTCTGGCGGGGAAGCGCTGGACATTACTGCCCAGGCCTCTGACCACAAGGCCGCTCTTACCTGTACTTGAGGAGTAGGAGCTGAGGCTCCAGAAGGTTACATGCCTCCAGTAAAAAGGTCAGTTGTAGCTTCAAACCCTGGCCCAACCCAACCAGTGGTCCTTTCCCATGTCTCACACTTGGGTGGTCCACCCGCCCACCCCCCGGGGATCAACACAGGACAAACTATTCAACCACCCTGAATCTGGCCAGATAATGTAGGTTTGCTTTCTTTCTGTTTTTGTTTTTCTTTCTTTTTTCTTTTGGCCCACACGATTTAGTATTTGCTTTAGTTGCCAACTTGAAAATTTCACTGATTTCATGGTTTCTCAAAAAACCAAGAATTTTGGGTGAAGGGAGGGCAGGGACAAGGGGAAAAAATGAGAATCAAGACCTATTATGTAAAGGTACAGAATCCCAATGATGAATGTAACTGTATTGTATACCTAGACTGTACCAATAAACTCAATAAAAAGGAAAAAAAAAAAAACAAGAATTTTTTTGAAAAACATCGCAATATGTGCCAATGCTGGGTGGACATGTCTGTGTGACCACAAATGCTGAGGCTAAAGCCATGGCGTCCTCGGTGGGCCACAGGCTTTCCTGGTACTGCCACCCACCTGCCTCTAACTAATGCAGTAACAAAGCCCAAGACCTTAGTGCCAGTTAGCACTCGCATGCTTTTGTTTTTCAAGCCCACATCTTTCTCAATAATAGCAGGGAAGGGCCAGGGATTTAGCTCAGTGGCACCGTGCCTGCCTCATAAGTACAAGGTCCTGAGTTCAATCCCCACTATCGAAAATAAACAACAAACAACAAATAAATAAAAGCAAGGAGAAAACAGTTTTGTGCCACGGAGCTCAAGTTGTGTGTGTAGCCAGCAAACATGTACAAAGTATAAGGTGGGTCTGTGATGACGGTCAGGGACCACATCTGCCTGAGGGGAAACAGGCAGAAGGATCCTGGGTCATACCCTGCTAACTAAAAGCACAATTTGTGTTCTTTTCTGGGACAGTCAGAGATTTAAGTCATTTTTGCTATGAACTGTGACATTTCATTTGGGCCTGCAGATGCCCAATAGGTAATGAAGTGGAACAAATCTTGCCCCTCATTTTGTGCCCTCTGCTGCTGTAAACCTTTTCAGCTTTGCATGTGGGTATGTTGATCATCTATCTCATCCTCCTTCAAGGCTGAGGACACCAAGACAAAGGATTTTCAGGGACACTCAGCCACACCCAGAAGTCTCCAGCCTGCTTCTGTGATCACCTGGATTCCAGGAAAGGTGGCACCCCACGGGACTGGGGCAGACAGTCAGAGGCAGGACCACCCCTCAGCCACAAGGGTCCCAGAGCTCTGACTCCAGCCCTGAGACTCGGATCCCTGGCCCCGGCCCATCACCTTACACTGGAAAGCTGGCCTGCTGCATCAGTGTGCTTCCTCCAGCCACGTAAGTCGGAGTCTTCCCAGCGTCCCTCTGACTTCCCAATTAAAGCCTTCCTTTCTGTAAATTTGTGTTTTAGTCTTCATTTCCATCATCACTAAAAGCAAGGACGCATCCTAGCCAGTGACATCTGTGCCAACTCAGCGTCGGCCTCATTCTCACACGTCCTGCCTGCCTGAAGGACACCACGTGCGGAACCCTTCCACTGGGCACTGTCCATCCCCCAGCGGACACAATTTTTTTTTTTTTGAGACTCGCTATGTAGTTCAGGCTGACCTTGAACTCTTGATGACTCCCCACCTCAACCTCCTGAGTGCTGGGATTACAGGTGTGCACCACCACACCCAGCTCTAACCTTTTAAACTTTTATTTTTTGGCTGGACTTGATTTCTGATCACTTACCAAGGGCCCCTGGAGACCAAAGAATGGTGACTGCCACTTGGTCGTGGCACGCATACTGGCTGATGGTGATGTTCTGGGCATCAGCAATCACGTGCTTCCCCGCCGGATTCAGGTAGGTGGTACAGTCTGCAGAGTTGGGAGAATGAGAATAATAAAATTTTAAATTCATCTCATCAAATGACGCACAGCATGTTTAAAGCAGCCAAATCCACTCTATTTCAAGACATGTGCCTCCAAAGCCCAAATACGAGCCAGGTGAGGTGGTGCAAGCCTGTAATCTCTGCACTCTGGGAGGCAGAGGCAGGAGGATCCACAGTGAGTGCAAGGCTAACTAGACCTACGCAGTAGTGAGTTCAAGGCCAGACAAAACTAGATGGCAAGACCCCGTCTCAAAACTAAAACAAAACAAAAAACCCACTTTTACTTATTAAATGATTTGGAAGAAATCACTGCTACATAACGTGGGACTGTTTGTTTTCAGATGAAACCTAGAGGGCAAGGTCGGCAGCAGGCAAGGAGCACACAGCTGTGGGTCCGCAGGGCAGTGACTTAAGGAAAAGGCTATGAACAAGCACCCTCAAAGGCAAAACTCGTCCAGAAGACCATGTGTCATCAAAGACACCCACAAGTCCAACTAAATCCAAAAAGACCCAACTGCTCCATAAACAAAACCGCCCCGTTCTCTGATTCTGTCTGAGGGCACTACTCACTGCCATCAGTCAGCGCAGCCGTTAACCACACAAGCAGCTACAACACTCCTGGACATTGCTAAATACCTTCGAAGTCTGCAAGTTTCCCCCAAGGCTGCCAGAAGCTTCTAGGGAGAATCGGTCTGGGATCAGAGAACAACCATGAGCTGTTGTTAGCTGTTTGGCCATCTTTTTCTGGGTTTTTTGTTGTTGTTGTTGTTGTTGTTGTTGTTGTTGTTTTTGAGACAGGGTCTTGCTGTGTAGTTCAAACTGGCCTTGAATTCACGATGTAGCCCAGGCAGGCCTCAAACTCACAGCAGATCCACCTGCCTCAGCCTCCCAAATGCTAGGATTACAGGAATGCACCATTTGCTTATTTAGCTGTCTTGCAGTAAAGACTTTCAGCGACAGGCAGCAGACAACAACTCAATTCTCAGGTCAGTGTACCTCCATTTCTTTCTCAATGATTCAACTTGAACACCCTCTTCATTATCTGCTCCAAAGGATCTATACTTCATCCAAGCTCCAAACCTGCAAGGGTTTTTTTTGTTGCTGATGGTGGTACTGGGGATCGAACTTCAGACCTTGTGCTTACATGGCAGGCGACTGCACCACTGGGCTAAATCCCCGGTCCTTTGTTTTCCTTTGAGGTGAAATATTCTGGGACATTTTCTAAGAAGCTCAGTGAACTGGCTGCACTTTCCCCTGAAAACTGTACTGTAAATTTCCCATTTTTATGAGTAAAATGTTCATTGAAGGCTGACTGTGATGGCATGTGTCTGTAATTCCAGCACTCTGGGAGGCTGAGACAGGATTCAAGTTCAAGCCCAGCCTAGGCAAACTAGCAAGACCCCCATCTCAAAATAAAATGGGGTTGGGATGTAGTTCAGCACAAAGTTTCTGTCTGGTTCAACCCCAAATACTGCAAAAAAGCAAAAAAAAAAAAAAAAAATTACTGAAGACAATCGAAAACAACACAGGAATGTAAGAAAAATGTAACAGTCAGGCATACTCTCTTACTACCCAGAGGTAATTCACTCTCAGAGCAACCAATATGTGTCCTCAGTACAGAAGAGATTTTTGGATTAAAAAGAGAATTACATATCTGGTCTGCACAAATGAGGAAACTGGCCAAGAGAGATCAGCTCAGGGACTTAGGAGCCCACTGCTGACGGGTCCAAGGGCGAGACCAAGAAAAGCAGCCTCTGAGAGCCTCACACTTGTGCCTTCATCAGCACGGAGCACATTACACAAAGGTGTCCCCTGCAAAAGTATGGGCTGAGACCAGCTTCCTAAACCCAAAAGGCAAGATTCCATCGCACTTGTATTTTCATTTAGTGAGGCCCGTAATGTGATGGTAAGACATTTTCGAGAGACAGAGCGGGGGGAGACAGAGAGGAAGGGAGGGAGGAAAGGAAGGGGGGAAGAGGAGGAAGGGAAGAAAGGAAGACGAGGGCCAGGGTGGCACCACACCTGCCTCAAAAACACAAGGTCCTGGGTTCCATTCCTGGTACCACAAAAAAAAAAAGAAAAGAAAGAAAGAAAGAAAAAACTTGCTTTGTAACATTAAATGACAAAAGAATAGAAAAATAAGGCTTTGTGGTTAATCTCGGTGAAAACTTCATATTTGGTTCTCAGTTCTTTTTTTTTCTTTTTCTTTTTTTTTGGGGGGGGCGGTTTGAGACAGGGTCTCACTTATGTAATTGAGACTGACCTGGAACTCACTATGTAGCACAGCTGCTCTCAAACTCACAGTGATCCTCCTGCCTCAGCCTCCCGAGCGCTGGGATCACAGGCGTGCGCCACCACCCCTGGCTGCGGTTCTCAGTTATTTCAAACAGAACTAGTAACCAGTAAGTCAGATGAGCAGTAAGAGAAATTTCTTATGCAAGAAAAAGTGTCTTTTAGAATGGGAAACACTGATTAAGTTCTCTACACAGCCAGCAACCAATGATTAGCAAGTCTAAATTTCTGGATTCTGCTTACAAAAAAACTTTATGCCCAAAATGACATTTTGCCAAAATGCAACTGAGCTTTAAACATCCCGGGATTCAACGTGAGCTGTGAATTAAACTCTCATTAAACATTCCAGAATTAAGAAAAAAGTGATGATTAAGATGGCATAGGTATGTGAGCCAAAAAATTCATTACAATGCAGACAACAGAATGATCATTTTAAATTTTACAGGTATAGATCCTTTTCCCATAAAACCCATAGATTAAATTAGAGAGGAAAATGCTTGTTTGCAGCTGACCGGAAAATTTTGAACTCTTGAATGTAATACAAGATGTGCTAAGACTAAGGGCGTGCATTAGAAATTAACTTTCCAACTCAAAGAAAGATCCCTTACACATGTCTTTACTTAGCTGAACAAAGAATCACAGACCTGCAAATCTTTCATTACCATCCCAGCGTTTACCCAGAACATTCACACACCACCAAAGCGCACTGAGTCCCACGTGAAAGTCCTTGCTAGCAACTGTGGGCGTGAATTTGACACAGATTTGTATCTTACAATTGTTAGATTACAGCCACAACCTCAAAAACCCCGTGTGACAGTGAGCCGTTGTGACAGTCAACTTGAGTAAGAAGCGCCCGATTGGCTAAGCATGGGGGTGGCTGTGGCCACCAATAGTCTACCAACCTGAGTGGAATTAAAAAGGGAAAATAGCATAAAGAATAATAAAAAGAAGGAAGTCTGGCTTGTTTCCTCCAGGAGCTCCAGTCTTGGCCTTCACCTTTGCTTTGGGCGTTGCCTGAGGGCTTCCAGCAGACTCTTCAGCCTCCGGATACAGACAGGCAGGGGCTCCACAGTGAGATCCATCCACCCTCTGACCCGATCCCTCGCACCCCTCCCACCTGGCTCTGCAGGCGGCCACTGTGAGCCTACACTGCAAATCCTTACACATCTGTATAGTTCACACTTAATGTCTCCCTAGTGAGCACTGACTGATACACTTTAGCAGTGTCCACCCCAGGGGCCTCCCTCCCTGTGACCTAAGCTCTTTACTCACAGGGATTCACAACCTTCTCCAAGAGGTGAATTGGGTTCTTGGGGTATTCAAGTACGAATCAAGCTCCCTCTTGTTGTTTTTACGTATATTATAACTCAGGAGGCTAAAATGCTCACAATTCTATACAATTACTTCTTCGTGAATGAAATCAGATACGTAAAGGGGATCCTATGAACTTAATCAGAAAAAGTACCTGTATCCTATTCTTAGAACACGATTCATTCAGGGACAAAAAGGTCACGCTGATAAGAGAAAGAGCAAAAAAAAGGCTGTTATATTATTCCACTGCTGTTGGACTAACTTCTAATATCAATAGCTAGCTAGGGCTGGGGATATAGCTCAGTGGTGCAGCGCCTGCCTGGAAAGTACAAGGTAATTAATGAGTTTGATCCCTGGTACCAGAAAAGAAAAAGCTACCTAACTTTTACTGAGCAAACAAGGCAGATCAGGTACCATATGAGCAAGTATAAACATTAATCTCATTCAGGCCTCAAAATAATGCTGAGAGGAACACTAATCTTCTTTTTGTTTTTTCCCAGTGCTGAGGATTCAAACCCAGGATCTCCTGCACACTAGGCAAGCACTCTACCAGACCTCTATCCCCAGCCCAGTAATCTTTATTTTGAGCAAAGTCAAGTCATCTGCCACAGTTCACACAGCTGACAGGTGGGGTTAGCACCTAGGCCCAAGTCAGAGATGGCAAACTAGAGGCTCCTGAACCCATTTCAACAAATATACCTCGGTTCACGAACACTTCCATCAGCAAACAATTCAGTTCTCAAACAAGTGTTCAACAAAATTTTGCTTCCTTTCACACATCACATCAGGTGACAAGCACAACTGTGGCCATCTTCCCCAGAATCTTAAAATAAATTAAGTCCGTGAACCTAAGTACCACTGTACTACTACTACTACTACTACTACTACTAATAATAATAATAATAATAATATGCTCATCAAAACACAAAAACAATAACAAAAAAGCAAGTTTCTGGCTACTCTTGGAAATCACATCTGGCTAGTCAGTGGAAATTCCTCAAGATCACAATGACTGGGAATTGAGACATCAGGGCCCCCTTTGGACAAAACAGGCTGCCCGTGTCTGCCAGTTACCATCTCTCCATCTCTTCCCAGCATCCTGCATCTGGGCAGCTTTGTTCCTCTGTCCTCTTCCTGGCCCTCCAGGCATCTGCGCTGGTTCAGAAGGACTCAAGCAAAGTCTTCATACCTAACCTTTCTGAAGGCTATGAAAGACACTTGACTTATTCAAGTTCCCAAATACGCCAGTGGCTTAATCAAGAATGAGCTGCTTTTAGTTGCTGACAAACCTGAACAGATTCAGAAAATTCCTCAACCCCAGGACCTGCCACGTTCCTGATTAAACACAACTGACGAAGCTGTAGATTACTGAAAGAGCTCCATTCTTTGCAGTCAAGCCAGTTACTTACTGTCATATCTGAAGGTGATGTTGTGCAGCCCGCTGCTCCTGCTGGCTGGCCCCACGCCCTGTGGGAAAACAAGAGAACATGATGCACAGCGAACCCAACTGACTTTTCTAGCTCAAATCCCATGGAGTATAAATGCACGCAGCGCTGGCTACAGAGGCGAGGGTTGAGCATCATCTGTATCTCTCCAGGACCCCCAAACACCCCAAACGCCCAAGAGATTCCTAACTGCCAGGCCACAGGGATCACGGGGATCATGTCCCCCAAGATAAAAAGGAGAAGGCTGCTCTGTTTGGGAGTTAAATAAATCATTAACAGTCAAAATTCGGAGGGCAGAGTACAGCCAGGTGGAACCCTTCCAGTTGGATCTGCATGGAGCTTGAGTGCTGACTGGTTGTAAAATTTGCCTACCAGACACCCTCATCCAAAGCTCTATTAAGGCAGGGCAGATAGGCAATTCCTCGGGTCTAAGGAAACCAGTTTCTCATTATAAGACTAGGAATGAGTGTGGGAATAAGCCATTACTTTTAATGAGAAAATTCTTTACTGCATCCATACCTGTGATTGGAATACACAGGGTAAGTCATAAAAGAAAAAAAAAAAGACTTTAAAATGCCTTAACTCTTAACTTTTGGTGAGCTGACCATTAGCCATCTGCACTCTTGAAGGTTAACAGTGGTGCCAGGACTACCATCTAATTACAGCATCCACAGAAGGAGAACTGCTTACCCATCATGGGAAAGCCAGCCATACAGCTCTGCTGATTCCGATTTAACCGTTTCTCTAATAATCTGTAAATATGCCATTCAGTATTAATTGCAGAATTCTCCAAAACCTGTTAATTCTGAAGCGCTAAACGATGGGAATGTATTCTAACCACATAGCTACAGTTTCTACTTCATAAGGGTGATGGCGGGGAAACCATATGCTGGGAGCCCGTACTTAACAGGCATTTGTTACACGGAGACACAATGCAGAGAACATTTCTTTTTTTTTTTCCTCCCCAAGTACCGGGGATTGAACTCAGGACCTTACGCTTGTGAGGCCAGTGAGGCGCCACGGAGCTAAATCCCCAGCCCAGGAGAACACTTCTGATGTGGCCAGCCTGGGGTTCAGCTCAGATATACACGGACCTTGGGAAAGCACAACTGTGAGAAAGGGACACGGACGGACGGACACACACACACACACACACACAACCCACTCTATAGTGAGGGACATCTAAGCAGTAATATAAAACCTAAACCACCACGGTGCCCCAGCCCTTGATCTGTGGGGCCCCCCTTTCTTCCTGGTTCAACTTCCCTCTTCAGTTTCGTCCTCCACCTTTTCTTTCACTCATCCATAAGATGCAAGAGCTCTTCGCCTGCATGGCAACTTTGGAAAGTGCTGTTACCTTTTTAAAATCTCAAAAGCGGCCAGGCGAGGTGGCCCACACCTGAATCCCAAGCGGAGGCAGAATGATTGCTGCAAGTTTGAGGTCGGCCTGGGCTACACAGTGAGACCCTCAAAAAAAGAATCCTAAAAAGTTGGGCATGGCAGCGCATGCCTATAATCCCAGCACTCGGGAGGCTGAGGCAGGAGGATCGCTGTGAGTTCGAGACCAGCCTGGGCTACATAGTGAGTTCCAGGTCAGTCTCAACTACAAAGTGAGACCCTGCCTCAAAAAAAAGAAGAAGAAGAAGCATAAGACACATGGAATGCCTCAAAGCAGCACCTGCACAAGGATGACAGGTACCCAAAGTCTAAGAGGGAGATGGATTACTGGACAGGAAAATAGAGCAGCATTGTGTTGGGGAGGGATGTAACCTAGAGCCCAATGTGAATGCCTCTAGCTGGTGACCAAGGAAAAGCTATTCCATGCCACTGGATGTGAGTCTGCTCAAATATCTGGTATCTTTTGCGGGTGGGGGTACCAGGGATCAAACTCAGGTCCTTGCGCTTGCAAGGCAGGTGGCGGAACCACTGGTATCTTTTTAACAGAATGTGTGCAGCTTTCATCTGGAAGGAGGGTTTGAGGACCACATGAAGCTGTGTAGAAGGAAGCACTGTTGAAAAAGGAAACACATTCCATTTCATAGACTATTCCAAGGTACACAGGGACTCTGCCAGCCAACCACCTTACTTGTGGAGTTTGGTCAGTTTTTCCTTTGTTCCCACTTCCCTTGTATCTCTAGCTTTTGTTGTCTGTCCCCGCCCCCACACTTTTGTAGCTTTATTTCTTCCAGTACCAGGTTTGAACTCAGGACCTGCCGCTTGCCAAGGCAGGTGCGGTGCCAATGATACATGCCCAGCCCTTGTAGCATGTTTTCTAACAGGTATTTGTAGGGCACTCGCAATGGCTAATGCATTGTGGAAAGGAGATGAAGACAGTGAGATGCAGGCGGTAACCTAAGTCCCTCCAAACCAGGTCCCTGTGATACGAGTGGAGTTGTCAGAGGGAGCCACTGAGCTGCCACAGCCCGCCGGTGTCGCGCGCAGTGTTCATTCAGTACCCTCAGCAGTCCAGCTGGTCCTAAGCCCCACCCTGGTCCTCCCTCCCTAGCTGCTTCAGCGCACCCTGTTTCCTGTCCCCAACCCATGAAGGGCTCCCTGCTCCTTCTGACCACTGCGGACCTTCCCGGCCGCCTCCTTCCCTACCCTCCAATCCCCTCGAGCACTGCGGCTCCACTACTGTCCCCAACATGAAGGGCTCCCTGCTCCTGCGGACCTTCCCGGCCGCCTCCTTCCCTACCCTCCAATCCCCTCGAGCACTGCGGCTCCACTCAGCACGCGTCCTCATGCACAGGCACTCGCGCAGCCCTCTTCTGTTCTCCTCCCGTCGCCCACACCTCCCTTCTCATCGGCCAGGTCCTGGTCCCGATGTGGCCCTGATCTCACTGCCTGTCACTCTGCAGGGCAGCTCAGTCATTCCCCCCACCATCCAACTAGCATGGCGCTTTCTGTGCTTCTAATTCCACAGAAAACGAGACACCATAGGACCCTGTTATTGTGGACAGGTAAGTTAATTAGGTTATCTTGTAGGTGGTAAAGACAGGGCCACCCTCAAGGAGCCAACACGGCGGGCGGGCAGCCAGTCTGGAGAACAATTAAGGCACATTCACCGGTCAGCATTATAAAAAAGGAAAAGAGGTTTACTGCATCCCCTTTAGATAGCAGTGATTGATATTCTAAATGAGAAATTTCTTGTATGGGATTTATTTTCCCATTCGATCCCCATTTAATCAGAAATACTTATAATTTTATTGGTTGGTCATGGCTTTGCCCCACGTCACGCCCACCCTGTAATTTTCCACCGCCTCACCTGGTGGCTTTTGCTCCATAAATAGCCCCTGGGGAATTGGGCAACCCACTTTCTGTCCCCCTGTGTCTCTCTTAGATAGAAGCTTTCTTTCTCTCAATAAATTTCTCCTACCCTTAACCTCTGTCGTTCCTAGAACTCATCCTTGGATTTTAGAGAACACAAACTGGGGTTTCAGTTATCCAACAGGTTTGGGAGTTACATCTCTTCCCCTACTACCACCGCCACTGTCCGAGCCTGGTCATGGAGCTCAGAAGCAAAGACACTGTCCTAGGTACCAGTTCTCTCCGCACACCGGAAGGCCCCCGGTGCACAGCTTCTTGGTACACACCTTGGGCAGTCCTCGACTCACAAACATCAAGCCTCAACTGCACCAGAGCCCCGGAAAGCACGCAGGAGACAACGTGCCCAGGCTATCCCAGGAACGCTGCTGTTTCATTCAGCGGCAGACAGGAATGATCGCCTCCCATCCATGTTCGTATTCTAGTCCTGGAACCTGTGAATATGTTATTCGACAGAGCAAAAGCACCTGTGCAGATGTGCGGAAGTTTAAGGATGCTGAAATGGGGAGTGTATTCTGGACTATCCAAGTAGGGCCCATAAAATCACAAGGGTTCTTGTGGGAGGGAGACAGAAAGATGCTACACTACTGCTGCGAAAGATGAAGGAAGAAGGGGCTGCCAAGGCAAAGGAGGTAAGCAAACTCGAGGCTGGAAAGAGCAAGGAACAGGTTCCTCCACAGCCTCCAGAAGAAAGCAGCGCCTGCGAGCGCCTCGATTTCAGCAGCTAAAGACCCACTTTGGAGCCTGGCCTTCAGAACTATAGGAGAGTAAGTTTAAGTCATTAAATTCATGGCAATTTTTCAGAGCGGCAACTGCAAGCTAATATACACATAGATTTCAATGGCAAGAGGATGAACAATCTAGATGTCACATGTGTGGCACGTGGTGCCATTCATTCTTCCGCTCCCGTACCCAAAACCTATCACTTGTCACTGTGACCTCTCCTACCTCGGCCTCAGACGGACACAAGACGCTGAAGTGCCGGAACTGCTGCTCGAGTCAGCAGTTAGCTGCCTCCATGTCCCCAGTCAATTCAAAATGTTTACCTGTTACGGTCATTTTGACTTTGGGGAGGAGCCAGAAGTCACACAATGACAGATCTGGTGAACAAGGTGGAGAGACACACTGCAATATTTTTATAAGCCTGACGTTTTGTTAAGGTGGCACTTGGCAGCAGCGTTCGTGCTATTTTTTAATTACGCCTTGTAAAGACATTCACAAAAGAAGACTTCCAGAACTGCTTCAGAACCTGGTGAGATCAAGATATGGTGAGAGAGGGAAAGTTGGGGAAAAGGAGAGGAACTAAAGAGACTTAAGATGTGTTATGTACATGTTCCAGCTCCTTATGGTGAACATAATCATTAAACACTGCAAACATGTTCTAATAAAATTTCTTTTAACAAGTGTCAAGAACGGTAAGTGTGGGGCCGGGAATTTGGCTCGGTGGTTCCATGGCCTGCCTCACGAGGTCAAGGTCCCGCGTTCGATACCCAGTATCCCCCCAAAAAATAAGTGTGATCAAAGTGACAGGTATTTTTGGGTATTAATGGCTATGTGTCTTTTACTCTAATAATTTTTTTTTAAAGTTTAAGCATTCACCATATTTTTTATCACACCTCTTATCAACAGTTGAGAACAACATCTGATGCATAATAACACAAACATGTTCCTGCCCTCGTTCAAGGGCTAGAGCTGTGG